TTCTCTTTGTAGTCTATATAAGTCTCTTACTTTCATAACAATTATCAACTAATGCTACTTTTTCCCCTTTTGGAACACCAACTAATGCGATCCACTAACATCAAAAAATGTAGTGTTAAAATGAATTTCTCAATTTAACATGAAAACTCTGTTTAGCTTCTGTCGTAAGAATAAAGTTATTATTTTATTTTTTGACATGATATAATATGAATCATAATATCTACAATAAATTCTTTATTTTTATTTAATTTATATTTTAAATAATTAATTTATAAAAATCAAGTTTCAATAAACTCTCTATTTGTATAAATTAAAATAGATAATTCAATTTGACTCACCCCTCATTACTATAAAAAAATGACACATGCACCTACTTCATTAAAGGCTATTGCATTCACTACTACAATAGTAGAGGATCTTATTGGAGTTATATAATAAAATCTATCATATTTTTAATTTTTGTCAAAATTGTTCTTTATTTTAAGAAAAATGATCGCTAAATTAGAGGGCACCACAAGTGATGCTCTTAAATTTTTTAACATGGCTTTACAAGAATATTGACAAAGTAGATTTTCAATTTATGAAAAGCAATAGACGATTTAGTTGAGAGACAATGAGATATAATTTTGAATACCTGTTTGGTTATGCATTTCAATATGAAAACAACGTGATTAATAAATAGATTGAGCTAATGTAAGACCATTTAGCACCATTAATTAAATAGCTGAGATTATAATTGTCTAGTACTCAGCATGAATCTAACGCGACATGTATTCAAAACAACAAACATAACTATTTTAATTTCATATTTGGTATTGCCAAAATTTTGAATTTTGTAATTTATATAAATCAAGTCGATCTAGATCTAGTTCAAGAGATTTGGAAGGTTAGAGATTAATTAGTTGGATTCTAAAGAATTAGTTAGGTTTGGTAAGTGGACCTGAGTTTATAAATTCACCGCAAAGATAATTAATCTTAAAATGATAGTTTATCCTTCATTTATGTGATTTACTCTTACCCTTAATGATATCATACGAAAAATCCGTTTTAAAACCCAAATAAAAGGCTTAAGGTATAGATCAAGATCGAGCAAAACCCTCATGGTTGGAGTGAGGTAAATTATAATGGTTTGGAAGAATGCAATAGCTGGTTTGGTGCTCAAGCAAGGCACCTAGGACTTGTGTTAGCTTTATAGTAGCTGATGCTTGCTTCCTGCTTGTTTCTTGCTCTAGTGAAGATAGAGGTGCTTGAGCAAGGTTAAGGAGTGTTCAAGCATTTGTCAGTAGAAAAGTATCTACTGCTTTCTATTATATTTTGAAAATTCCTCCCAAACTCATTTTAAGACCTTCCTACTATAAATATTGGGCATGGCATCTAACTCACAACATGAAGATAGAAAAACGTAGAGGCAAGAACACATTCTTAAGAGCTTTGAACCAAAAACCTAACTTTCCTAATAATTATTCTTCATTTTTTTTGGCTAGTTGCTTGGTAACCACTGATTCACCTTACAATTAGTATTGGATGTTTATGTGATAAGCACTTAGTCTCCTTAATTAGCTTAAAAATGAGTTTCTAAACTCAAAAGAGATTTTGTGACTACCTTAATGATTCTTGGTGGAAATTTTGAGGAAGAATAGAGGATTAGTGCTCTTTGTGGAGGATTTGGCCAACGGCTTTCTGGAAGTAGAAACGTGATCTAAAACATCATTGTTATTACAATGTGGACATTTGTAAACGTCGTTGGCACGCTGGGAGAAGTAATGACAAACATATTACTTCTACATCTCATCGATGTGGATTGGATGATAAGTATTGACACTTGTACATTATTAAAAACTAGTAGATCGTTACTTATCTCCGTTATAGTCAATTATGATGATTGTGTAGAGGATACTAGGACAATGGCCCTTGTTCACTCAAACCAAGTCTCCAAGCCTAGGTGTGGACACAGAAAAGGATGTTCCATAACTAAAACCCAACCGACATAGAGAAAGATGTTCCATAACTACAACCCCATTGTATGATGGTTCTAACTATGCTTATTTGAAAGTTTGTATGTGTTATCCAAATTATTGTGTATATAATTAGATTTAGGAAACTTAACCATTGTTGTAAATATAAAACAGAAAGCCTACTGTTTAAAACAAAATAATGCACTCACATAGATGCAAAACAACAGTAACGATCAGAACCAGAAAACAAGAATAAATAAAGAATAAATTCGAGCCCTGTATCCGTAGTCTCCTTAAGACAAATTTGCTCATTCTTGGTGTCTAAGGTTGATGAGCAATTGTCTCCCAAGATAGAGTAGATTTATGTTCTTGGAGAAGCAACACTCCAATCTCCAAGACTCCAGCGAACACAACTTTGTGTCTTATACTTGTACCGATGAAGAAGAATATGTATGTAAAGGGAGAGAGACAGAAGAATTGTTCCTGAATTTTGGTATTTCGGATATTTTCAAATGGCCATGCCCAAAGCACATACAATGATAGGGCATAAAATATATGGAACACGCATGGCCATGCCCAAAGCGCATTAAATGATTCAACAAAAGTGTGGGAGGCATTCATTGCTCGGCGGAGCCAAGAAGTGTGTATTAAGTACACGGAGACCCGAGTGCAGATCTGTTAAGGCACCAAGTGCAAGAAGTAACAAATGCTCTGATTGAAGTCTGCACACCAAATGTTGGCCGTTATATGAACCAACCTGGAGCTTTTGCTCCAAGGGGCCCAGCTGTCTGCCTTAGTCAACTCTTGGAAGGTATAGATAGCATACTAAACCTCAAAGCAAAGGTACGCAACCCCTGACCCAAGCAATATAACAGTGTTCTCAAACCCTTTTAGAAATGCTGACTTGAGCGTCGGAGGGACACGACGGAGAACATTCTGACACCCTTTTAGCTCTTCTTTCTTGAGGGATAGGACACCGTTGAGATCCTACCCGTAAGTTGATCGTTTGCAGAGGACTCCACCACTATTTGCAATCCCAATTCCCTATAGCACTATCTCTAGCCCTATACGAGGCCCTTCGTCAAAGTGACATAGTAGGCGAAGGCGAGCTTACCAAGGGAGAAATTTGTCATCTCATTTATTATGCAAAAATTGTCCCGTACAATATTAGTGCAGAAAAGTGATACACCATCATTTGTGAGCTTCAAAGGACAAGGCATTAAGCACAGGAATTTGAAGGGGAAACTGATTTATAGTTTTTACCCCTGAAGTATTACATTGTCTCTTTTTTGGCCCTTATACTTTTTTCTTTGACAATGACTATCATGGTTTGCAATTGTTCCTAATTTGTTAGTCCAATTTTTGACCTGCTAAGGTTTCTTAATGTTAAGGTTCCCTTTTTTCTTCCCAGAGCTGTGTGGGTTAGTTGGTTTCCTCCTGAAGAAGGGATTCTCAAGTTAAACATTGATGGTGCCTCGAAAGGCAATCTAGGCTTTTCAGGAGGAGGTGTGATAGTAAGAAATTCAGAGGTAGAATGGTTATTGTAGCCTCATATTTTTATGGAGAATGTACTAATATGGTTGCTGAGTACAGAGCTTGCTTGATGGATTGAAGTTGGTTGAGCATTATGGTTTGATTGTGTATAAGCTTGACAATGAATTAGATTCTCAAGTGCTTGTTGATATTTTTGAAAGTAGTTTTAAAGAACAAAAAATTATAAAATATGTTTGGACAATAATCTACAAAACACACAATTATCATCTCTATATTTTTTTCCCTTCTCTCTATCTTCACAAAACACACACAAACACACGCACACAAACACAGACATGCGCACAGACGCATACACACAGATTTGTGCTTCAGATCAGTGTAGATTTGAAGCTTCAATTGTTGCGAGAGAGAGAGAGAGAGAGAGAGAGAGAGAGAGAGAGAGAGAGAGATGCAGAGCACACAGACAGAGACCGAGAAGATGTAGGAGATCTGTGTGTGTGTGTGTCTTGAACCCAAATGCAAAAAAAAAAAAAGATGCTGAAGAGGACGGAGAAGACACTAGAGATCGTCGGAATTCTCGAACCCAGATTGTGTGTGTGTGTTTCGTCTGGATTTGCCGAAGTGGAGAGAGAAACTTCGATGATAGAGCAGCGATCTTCGTTGCTTCGGTCTTCATTGCACAACACTCATTGCACACACACACACACACACAGAGAGCGAGAGAGAGAAAATATAAGTGTAGGGCTTTTATACTTCAACGAAAAAAATACATTTTGCTGCTAAGGAATTTGATGGGTGAACCTCATTAAATAGGAGGAGTTGTTTTTCTTGTTTTCTATTTTGACATAAAAATCAGAAAACATCATTTTTATGTTTTCTATTTTTTGTTCTCATTTCTCACTTTTTTTGAAAATTTGTTTTTGGAAACTACAAACCAAACAACATCTCACAAAATTTTGTGTTTTGAGAACAAAAAACAAGTTTTTAGACACAAACCAAACACCACCTTAATTTTCGGATTTCCCATGTTTATAGAGAGTCGGATGGAGTGGCGGACTGTTTGGCCAATCGAGCTGTGTTTTACAGATGCTCCACTGATTTTACTTCATCTGTGCCTCTGCCTACTGCTGTTAAGCTTCTGTTGGTGCAGGATCGCAGCAAGCTGAGGGTGCTGCCGAGAAAGAAGGCGACAGTTGTATAAATTTTGTTCTATTGATGTAATTTTTAAGGGATTTGGCAAAGCTGTGATCCTTTTCATACTGGTAATGATTTTTTGAAAGTGCAATAAAATGTTTCTTAATAAAATAAAAATAAAAATTAGCCAGTCCAATTGATTATGGTTGTCTACGGTGTAGTGAAAGATACCACATCCAATGTCTATACAACACAATTAGGGATAATAATAAGAAATTCAACTTCCCTTCTGACTTTTGTTCCCAGATTGACTCCTATTTAATAAAGTTTGTAGAAAGCCTTGATGACTCAGCTAGGTAGATAGAGGTGTGAATAAGAACCTCCCTCCTAAACTTTCCAATGTACCAAAAAAAAAAAAAAAAAAAGAACCTCCCTCCTATAAAGAAGCCTCTTGTGTATGAAGACTCATGTTCATGTCACTATTTGAGAGCTCCATACGAGACAAAAAACCAGCAGGAGGAGAGAGAGAGCCATGGGAAGGCCTCCTTGCTGCGATAAAGTAGGTATCAAGAAAGGTCCATGGACCCCTGAAGAAGATATCATCCTAGTCTCCTACATTCAAGAACATGGTCCTGGAAACTGGAGATCGGTTCCTACGAATACCGGTAACCCAACGACGTTTTCTTAATTTCCTGCTTATTTTAGCTTGATTATCTTTTGTTTGGCTTTTGTTATCTATTATCAGAAAGACCCCATCCAAGTTTTGGTAGTTTGGTTTGGAATTTGAAGTTTTCCAAGCACATAAAAAAAAAATGGCCCAATGCACGGAGCTCGCACCAATTATGTTCACATATTTTATAATTAATCAATATGTTTTCATTTTCTAAAGGGTTGTTAAGGTGCAGCAAAAGTTGTAGGCTTAGATGGACTAATTACCTCAGGCCAGGAATCAAAAGAGGCAACTTCACCCCACATGAAGAAGGAATGATAATCCATCTTCAAGCTTTACTGGGTAACAAGTAATTTTCAAAACCTCAAATTTCTTGTCAATTTCATTTTATATATATTCAATAGTTCACTCTATCAAAACAATTCAGTTAAAAGCTATTTTTTTTATATCTCAATATTTGAACAGATGGGCAGCCATAGCATCTTATCTCCCACAAAGAACAGATAATGATATAAAGAACTACTGGAACACCCACTTGAAAAAGAAAATCAACAAATTTCACTCAGCATTGGATCCCCAAATGGCATCAGATTCAAAATCATGTCAGTTTGTATCCAAGAGTTTCAGTGACCGGGACATCGATATTCCCGGGCATGCCTCAAGTCCGAGGTTCAATCAGAACTCTTCTATGTATGCCTCAAGCACAGAGAATATTTCAAGACTGCTAGAAGGATGGATGAGATCTTCCCCAAAAACTACGCAAAGTGAACCACAAGAAAAATTGCATCAGCATGTCTTTGCAAATTCTGCAGCAGCAACTTCTCTTCATTGTTACCGACCCGAGGTTGAGCAAGAAGAAGGAGATTTGATCTCTAATGAAGAGTTTGAATCTATTTTATCATTTGATAACTTGACTAGCATTACATGGGAAAAGTCTTCATGTGATTCTACTCAAAAAGGGTCTCAAGCTGCTGCCACATATGATGATATTCATGGGAAGGCCCATCTTGTGCAGGAGAGGAAGCAAAGGACAGAGAAAAATCCTCCATTGATGTTTTTTGAGAAGTGGCTTTTGGATGAATCGGCTGGTCAAGTGGAAGAGATGATGGAACTGCCTCCGATGTTCTGAGAAAAGCTCCCTCTTTTCTTTTTTGCAAGTTTGACCTACAAATTCAGCATGAAAAATAAAAGTAGTAAAACTTAAGTTGTTTGATTGTCTTAGGGTTAGTCTTTTGTTGGGGTTCTAAAAAGTTGGAATCTCTTCCCAAAACGTTGACTGAACATCTCTGAATGAAGTAGCTTAAATATTCTTATGTGTTGTCTTGCTTCAAGCTTGATACATGTAAAGTAATTTATTTTATTTTAGTGGCTTCCATGTTTTTTTTTTGTTTATATAAATTCAAATCCAGAGTTATTAATCAAATGAATTGTAATACACTGAAAGCCCAGCTTGGATGGAATTAGACCAACGTGGACACCCACATTAAGTAAGAACCTTAAGGAATTGAAAGCTCCCATTTATTTTAGAGCCAATGATGGTTCATCATGTGTTGAAACTTGAAACTCTATAACTAAAAGAAAAAAGACTGATCATTTAATATTGCTCGTATCAACTGTGAAACTTCCACAGTAAATCTTTTGTTATGAGAAATATTTTTTTTTGATTTAAAAATATGATTTAATTTGTTAATTTAATAATATTGTAAGTGATATGATGCCAATAAAAAAATGCATGAGTTACAGTTATAATTTCATAGGACCATGCTAGTTGCCACATCTTTATTTCAAGAATTCAAATGATACTTTTAGATCTTGATAGTATCACTCTTTTTTTAGTAGTGCAGATTATAAATTACCTCCATTGGTTTGATTTAGTGTAATATGTTATATTCCAATATATTAAAAAATCTATGTATACTCTCTGTGGTTTTCAATCAAAATGAAATCACGATTAATTAGTCTGAAGTCTATTTTTTGTAAAATAATGTATGAAAATGACTTTTGTATCCTTCTCTCTCCCTCTCTCTCTATACACACACACACACACACATATCTATATATATATATATATATAGGTATAGATGTATATGCAATAATTTGACTTTTTATATTTGTATAAATTTTTAGGAAGAAACAATTGAAGACTTCAAAAAATAACAGGCATTATCTCCTTTTTATATTGAAGTCATGACCTGGTTAATAATTTTACTTTAGTCCAAACTTTTAGGGACGAAGTAGGCAATGTATCACTTACTCAAACTACAAAAGGGAAAACATGATTTCCCTTTGTTATTATTGTTGTTGTAGTCATTATTGTTATTGTAAGTGAGCAATTTATTATTTTCATGAAATCCAAGTCCTATTACTGAATTATTATTGCTACTATCTCTGAGTCAAGGATGGGACTTAATGGTAGAGAAAAATAGAAGTAGGAGCCATATAAGTGAAATGGAATAGTGTCACGAAAGTCTTGCCACTATAAAAGGGTAAATAGCTGGTTCAACAGCCATCTTTTCACAAAAATGGAAGAGAGAAACATGTGAATTCCTGCTCCTTTCGGCGTGGAAGCTGTAATGCTGATCTCATGGCTACCATGCCAAGTGGCCGGCCAATCATAGGCTAATGCGTTTAAGACAGCTACATGAATCCTTAAAAAAACATAAAATGATACCGGTAAAAAATGACCTTTAAGTTCCTACTTTGGTGTTGCAGTACAACACTAGAAAATCTGGAACTTAATCATTTTAGAAACTACTTTGTCTAAACTTTTGTCTTTCCATTTTTATGGTCTTGTTAATAATTTTGTCAAACTTTTATTTTCTCAATTATATACTATTTTAAAAAACAAAATTCAGACCAACAATGTGTACAAGTATTTATATATCAACCACTTCATACGTCAAGGTTTGAGTTTGGAAATAAGTAATACTAAGAATAGATGTAATATTACTAACCACTTAGTTCTCTCAAACATTGCTCTAGGCATAAATAGACTTACCATTGCGTATGACCTCCATAATTTGCTAAAACGTCAACCCATTTTCAATGTCTACTACATGGTTTTGAACCAAATATATAATGCAAAGTAAGTTTCTTTCCTTGGAATTTTTTTTTGAGGCTACTTCATCAGTCTCAATAATAGGGCACATGTGAGCTTATTGAACAAAAGTGAAAAGTAGGAGATATGCTTCCCGGAAATTAAATGATACTATCGCCTGTGAGAAAAGGTGTTGGCACATTTATTTGCGGTGTAACTGTCCTTATGTTTCTTTCCGCCCTTGGGTGAAAAATGAATTCTCTTGATGAAGGAATCCCCATGAAAGTCTTCTTTCTCCGAATGGTTCATCATGAATTCCTTGCTGAATTGAGATACACCACTTTTGCCAGTTGCCCAGAAGAATCCGAATGTATCAATAATTCCGAGCATAAAAGCAAATATACCAAAAATTACTGAGAAGATATAGCCACTCTTGATATTTAGTCGGTGAATGTAGTTCTTATAAATCAAACCATCTTAATTCCTTGTATTTTTGTTTTTGCGGATATTTGAATGAATCAGACATCGTTAACAAGTGTTCAGATCTTGGTTAACACTTATTATTGGATTGTCCAGTTGCTCCTCAATCTTTGTGGCCACAAAGTTTTTTTTTTTTTTTTTTTGTGTTTGCGTAAAAAGAAATAATATTACTAGAACATAATAATCTAACTAAATATCTTGATTAATGATAAAACATATCATATGGTCTCAAAATAAAAAAAAAAAAAGCCTGACAGTTATTATCACAATGACAATATTGGTCAGGATAATGTATATTGTTATATCATTAAGTCAAATTATGAGATCTTACTCAAAAAACAGTCATTATTAAAAAGTCATATTGTACATAGTGATGAGCTTATCATCCGAATGGTAATAAAACCACTACATGTTCATTGAATATTTGAGAATTAACATATTATACAATGATATATCAAGCCCCCCTCACTCCCCTCCTCACCTACCGAGTGGTTTCTACATTTTTTATTTACCATTTTTTTTGGAGCTTGCCTAGTTCATAATACATCGAAGCCATCAGGTTGTAATACTGTTATTTTGATAGGCATTAATTGTTATAAATGTTCTTAGTTCTAGGTGAATTGTGAACATATCCAAAACCCAGTAGTATGTGATTGGTTTTAAAGCCGACCCTTCTCGATATAGCTATAGTTATGGACGCCTCCGAGCTGAATTGATATTAGTGTGTCTAACACTATTTCTGAGTATCCATTTACGGGATACAAAAGCTTTAGTTCCATGGTAACTTGTCATAGTAGTTCCTTTTCTTCTTCTTCTCTCTCTCTCTCTCTCTCTCTCTCTCTCTCTCTCTCTCTCTCTCTCTCACACACACACACACACACACACTCTCTCGCACACGCACACTTCACTACTTAGTGTCACAGAGTTGTAACATAGATTTTGTTGTTGTAGTTGGAAAATGAGAAGATAATATAACCAGAAGTCTAGGCTGGATGAAGGCCATTACGTCACTTTCCCGCATTACAATCATCTTCACCTAACATTGCATGGGTTGGCATGCTTGTGAGGTAAAAGCCACTATGATTTGTGATCCCTATGAATAGGCAAAAAAAGAATAGAACAATGCTATTTGAACCTAATTTGTCGCTTTAATCATCATTCATTATTACAGTTCATGGAAGAGGCCACAACGACTATTGTTTTTTTAACGAGTAATGATATGTATCCCAAATTTGTAATACAAATTTACATTCCAAATTAAGGAGGACCATTGGATCAGTGGGTTCCATTCAAAAAAGTTGATAGAACCCATTGATCCAATGATTCTCCTTGACTTGGGATACAAATTTGGATTGTAAATTTGGGATACATAGTACTACTCTTTTTTAACACTTAATAAAAAAGTCAATGCTAGATAGAAGTTTAGCCAATACTATATGAATCTGAGTTATTGTACTATCACTGTTGGATCCCGCTGCTTTGAATGCAACTTAAAATCAATGTAACTCAAAAATTCAAGTCGTGTAACTTCTTTGCCTTATTCTTCTGGATCCAGATCTGTTATGATATAATTTTTTTTTCTATTTTTTACTTAGTAGATGATCTATACATGATGAGTCACACTTAAAATTAATTGTAGATAATTTATGCAGGAGAAAAATGAATGAAAAATATATTAGAATAAATCTCAATCTTATTATCCCTCTTTCTTTCTCTTCCTCACCCTTTCCCAGTCCCAATCAGCGTATAAAGGAGGTGCAAGTCCTTTTGCATTAAGTGATCGTTCGCATGGCCTTCAAATTAGGCTAAGGATATGGGCCATGTTAAATGAAAAGGCAAACTAATTTCTCTTAGGTGAGAAATCATTTAATAAACGAAATGGACTTGTGTCAAACAAATATCTGGAGTAGAATAGGGTGGAAAGTTCAATATGTGGTGACAATCTATTCTTAAGGCCATCTTCTCAGTAAAAACTTGGTTAAAAGAATTGGAATAAATCATGAGAACAAAAATAGTATTTTTGCTAATTATAATTATAGTTACCTTAATGCTTCGTTTGGTACAATAAAAAAAATAAAAAAGATGAAAAGTTGGAAGGAGAGTAAAACATCATGTTTGATTTAGAAGAAAAATAAGCAAGGCGAATAAGTGGATGAATTAATTTTTCTTCTAATTCACAAAAATTAATTCTTTCTAAATTGGGAGGAAAAATAGATGAAAAGTTAATTATGTGTGTTGAAATGTATATTTATTTGTTTATATATCATTTGATATATACATTTATCATTTTTATCAAACAAATATTATGTATACATTAATTTTATATATATATATATATAAAATGATAAAATATATATTTATAATTTAAAAAAAAACATAAAAAATAATTTTTTTTTACTTTCCATTTCTCTTACTAAATACAATAGAAGGAAGAAATAATTCATCACTTGAAGGATAAAAAGTGTATCACTCATACTCTCCATCATTCTATCCACTCTATCAAGTGAACCATAAGAGGATAACATATAAATTTGAACTAGTAAACTCGCTAATATTTATGCCAATGAAAATCAATTGTTGTTGTAAACCCAAGCCATATAATGAACACCGAATATACCCAACATGGCATTGATGGATTGCTATGGATTTTGCAGGGCAAGGTGGGAAAGGCGCCAACCACAGGTTAGTCCTCTTTTGCTACATGGATTGAATTGCATACCAGTAATTGCATTGATAAAAATTCACCCGCCTTTCTGTGCACCAGCCTGTCGATCATGTGAATGAGTTTTAAGTTATTATTGTGGAAATTAAGTCAACACTAAACACTTCAGCCACCAGAGTTATATTCATTCAC